GAGGGTGGGTGTGAGTAAAGTCGACCACTTTTCTCTCTCAAAAGGGTATGGCTAACTCTGGGCGACATGGTGAGTCCTTTTATCCCATCAGTCGAATGCATCCTTGGCAGATTATCGAGGCTCAACCTCCTGATAGGTCGGTGAAAGTCCGACGAAACAGTCTGGCACAGTCATGCTTTTTGTGTGTTGTGTAGCATGACAACAAAGAGAGAGAGAGAGAGAGAGAGAGAGAGAGAGAGAGAGAGAGAGAGAGAGAGAGAGAGAGAGAGAGAGAGAGGTACTGAGTTTTTTGGTTGATGGTTTGGACAGGCAGGAGGGGATTGGCAGCCGTGCGTAGCTTGAGACGCGGTGAGTTAATTCTGCACGTTCCGGAGAGTGTGCTGCTCAGCTCTCGCACAGCGCATCGAGATTCCGTCGTGGGGCCTATCCTTGCGTCAGCGGCCTCAAAATTGTCTTCCCATCAGGTAAGGAATCCCAGCGCGCCCACGTTTCCCTTCTCAACGAACTCTTATTTGCTAATAAACCTAAGCATTAAGCAAGCACCCGGTGATCAGCTTAGTAATTACAAAGGAGCCCCATCCCACTCGGGCCTGATTGAAGCATAGTCTGACGAGCCCTGTTCTACGAGTACTTCGAGCCCTGGTAGGGGTAGACATTCTACTACAAGCCCCATAGGTGAACCCTTTCCTGTTCGAGGGACTCTACCTGGCAGCCTCCGAGTCTGTCATCAGTGAGTACGCGGTAGTCTTAGTAATTACAGAGGAGCCCCCACCCCACTCGGGCCTGCTTGTGGACAGGCGGTTGATGCGATCCTACCGTCTTCCTCAGAACACAACGCATCCTCATCCTCATTTCGACTGTACCGGGCCGCAAACATACCTTGTGTACGTTCATTTTCAGGGTGCGTTATGTTCGGGGGACGGTAGGGGCTGCAGATGATTGGGGAAGAGCAGGGAGGGGAGGGAGGAAGAGGAGCAGGGGGGTAAGAGGAGGAAGAAGTGGAGGAAGAGGAAGAGGAGGATGAGCAGGAAGGGAGGATGAGAAGGAAGGGAAGAGGAAGAGGTGGAGAAGCAGACGGGCTACTTGAAAACGTAATCGGCTACTCTTTTCAGTTTTTTTTTTTTTTTTTTTTTTTTTTTTTTCGGCTTTTCAGTTTTTCGAAAAAGACGAAACCCTTGACATACCGGTATTATGTACTTCCAACAATTAGGTGGGCCCTGGGTGTTCTATTAGTAATTTCACAGGACTGTGTTTTTCTTCTTTTTTTTTACGTAATTTTTGTTTTGGTTATTCATGCCTGACTTCCCGTACGACCCACGTGTACTTTCCCGGCTGAGCTCCTCGACCGGTGTTCCCGCGAACATAACGCACCCTCGTCATGAATGTACACAAGCTCTCTCTCCGGTCCTATGCAGTCATGATGAGGGATCGTTGTGTTCGCTTGATTGACGACGGCTAGTATCGCCGTCGATGGATTTCCTATAGAACGGAGCCTCATAGTTTTGTCCATTAGGCCAGTATGCCCGCATCGTGATGTCATCATTCGTTGTCGAGCTCAGCATGCGCCTGGTGGGTTTTGAACCCTGCACTTGTCTGATCCCACTCGGCATGCGACCTCGAATCCGTATACTGCGTAATTCTTCGTTCATGTCAGCACCTCTCTCTCTCTCTCTCTCTCTCTCTCTCTCTCTCTCTCTCTCTCTCTGTGCCATCGAAACCTCTCATGAACGAAAGCCGTAAGAAAAATAAAAATAATCGGCCCTGTCAACTGATCATTATTTCTCTCCCTCAGCGTCTGGCTCTCTCTCTCTCTCTCTCTCTCTCTCTCTCTCTCTCTCTCTCTGTGCCGATGAAACCTCTCATGAACTAAAGCCGTAAGAAAAACAAAAACGAATCGGTCCTGTCAACTGATCGTTCTCTCTCCCTCACTCTCTCCCTCGCTGTCTCTTTGTCTGTCTGTCTGTCTGTCTGTCTGTCTGTCTGTCTGTCTGTCTGTGTCTGTCTGTGTCTGTCTGTGTCTGTCTGTCTGTGTCTCCCGCTCTCTCTGCATTCCCTTCTCCATCTCTTTTGGCGACCGTATGCTCCTGAAGATAACCATCTTCAGCATGACTGTTTCAAATCAGAAGATAGCTTGTGCACATTCATGATCAGGGTGCGGTGAGTCCGGGGGAAGATGGTAGCTCGCCAGCTTGCTCTCCATCCTCCTTCCCCCGGGCGGTCCTCTCTCTCTCTCTGTTTGTTGTTTCCGCATTTTGCTCACGATGATTAAATGTGCTCGTTTCTGAGTTCGTTTTATCCTTGGACAACTAGGGATTGGCCTCGCTACCGGTAGTCACTATTCTAGAGTTGTAAAGAGGAACGAATGTTTCGCAGGAATGTCAGAGAGGTCGATTTCCCAGCCATTCATTTGCTTCCTCCCTCTCTCCCTCCCTCCTTCCCTCCCTCCC